GAAATAAAAGGAATACAAATAAGTAAAGAAACTGGTCAAATATTCCTATTTGCAGATGACATGATCCTATATCTTAAAAGACCCAAAAAACTCTACCAAAAAACTCCTAGACACCATAAACAGCTCGCAGTGCGGATATAAAATTCAACTTACAAAAATCAATAGCTTTTCTATACACCAACAACAAACAAGTTGAGAAAGAATATATGGAAACAATTCCATTTACAATAGCCTCAAAAAAAAAATCAAATACCTAGGACTAAACATAGGATGTGAATGAACTCTACAAAGAGAACTGCAAACCCCTGAAGAAAGAGATCGAGGAAGACTACAGAAGGTGGAAGGATCTCCTGTGCTCATGGATTGGTAGAATCAACATAGTAAAAATAGCTATACTACCAAAAGAAATCTACATGTTTAATGCAATTCCCATCAAAATCTCAATGACATTCATCACAGAGATTTGAAAAATCTACCCTAAAGTTAATTTCGAAACACAAGAGACTATGAATAGCCAAGGCAATACTCAGCAAAAAGAGCAATGCTGGAGGTATCACAATACCCAACTTCAAACTATATTATAAAGCAATAGCAATAAAAACAGCATGCTACTGGCACAGAAACAGACATGAAGACCAGTGGAACAAAACAGAGGACCCAGGTATGAATCCACACAACTATACAAACTTCATTTTTGACAAAGGTGCCAAAAACATACGATGGAGAAAAGACAGCCTCTTCAACAAAAAACTCCTGGGAAAACTGGTTATCTGCCTTCAGAAAACTGAAACTAGATCCATATTTACCACCCTGTACTAGTATCAACTCAAAATGGATCAAGGACCTTCATATCAGACCCAAAACTCTGAAATTAGTACAGGAAAGAGCAGGAAACACTCTAGAAGCAATAGGTATAGGCAAGGACTTCCTCAATAGAACCCCAGAAGCTCAGCAACTAAGAGAAAGGATGGACAAATGGGACTACATAAAATTAAAAAGCTTCTGCACAACAAAAGAAATGGTCTCTAAACTGCAGAGACCGCCCACAGAGTGGGAGAAAATATTTGCCAGCTATATATTAGACAAGGGACTGATAACCAGAATATATAGGGAGCTCAAAAAACTAAACTCCCCCAAAATCAATGAACCAATAAAGAAATGGGCAACTAAAATAAACAGAACTTTTCAAAAGAAGAAATTCAAATGACCAAAAAACACATGAAAAAATGCTTACCATCTCTGGCCATAAAAGAAATGCAAATCAAAACCACACTAAGATTCCACCTCACCCGTTATAGAACAGCTACCATCAAAAACACCACCACCCACAAATGTTGGTGAGGATGTCAAGAAAAAGGAACCTTCATACACTGCTGGTGGGAATGCAAGCTAGTACAACCACTCTGGAAAACAATACAGAGTCTTCTTAAAAAACTAAACATAGATCTGCCACATGATCCAGCAATCCCACTCCTAGGGATATACCAAAAGGAATGCGACTCAGGTTACTCCATAGGCACCTGCACACCCATGTTTATTGCCGCACTATTCACAATAGCCAAGTTACAAAAACAGTCATGATGCCCCACTACTGACAAATAGATTGAGAAAATGTGGTATTTATACACAATGGAATTTTACTCAGCCATGAAGAATGAAATCTTATCATTCGCAAGTAAATGGATGGAACTGGAGAATATTATCTTAAGTGAAGTTAGCCAGGCTCAGAAAACCAAAAATCTTATGTTCTCCCTCATATGTGGACTTTAGATCTAAAACAAATGCAGTAATATTATTAGACTTGGGTCACACGCTAAGGGGAGAACACATATAGGAGGAATAGGGAAAGGTAGGAAACCCCAAACTTGAAAGTGTTTGATGTCCCCACTGCAGAGGAGATAATACAGTAACCTTAAAATGACAAAGGTCAATATGGGAAGGTGACTGGAAAGTAGTGAAGAGGTAGAGATGAATCAATTCGGGTTGTAATATACTTGTGCATGGAAGCAATGCTAGGACTCTCTCTGTATGGCTATCTCAACTAGCAAAAACACTATGCCTTTCATATTATTGCTTATGTCTACTCTTCAGCAAAATTGGAGAAAAGGGCAGAACAGGTTCTGCCTGGAAGTGAGGGGGGTGGGGGGCAGAGGTAGCAGGTGGGGGTAGAAATGGCCCAAACAATGTATGCACATAAGAATAAATGAATAAAGAAAAAAAGAAGTATTTAATTTAGTGTGCTGAATGAAGTTTTTCCGAATCCCCTTTACAAAATGCAATACTTTATTTAAAATTCTTAATTACACTTATAAGAACGCTTCAAACATGTTTGCAAAACACATTATCTTAAAATCCTTTAAAGGCTTTCTATTACTCTTAGAACAAGATCCAAAAACCTTACACAAAAGCTGACAAAGCTCTTCATGAGCAAATCTCCCTTTTCAGCTGCCATCTTCAAGCATACCTCATGGAACCTTTTCTGAAGTAACTTGTTTTTTTTATATCTGTGAGGCCTCTTCTTACCTGCAAGTTTTATTTATACCCACTGTTTGGAACTGTCATCCTCTATCTCCTCTGGGCATACTTTGCATCCTCTATGTCTTAAGCTTTAAAAAAATCATTTTGAGAAGCATGCCTTGATTCTCTCTTGTCCCCAGGTTAGATGCTTCTTAAGGATATTTCCATGCCACCCTGAACTTCTGCTATGGCCGCTGTCATACAGGAAATTGTAAAACTTTTATCAAATAGTCTGGCACTCTGTCTTACCATTAAAGCTTCAGGAAAGACAAAACTGCATCTATCTTTCTCACTACTGGATTTTAACAGCCCAGCACACTGAAGGCTCCTAATTAGTATCTGAAGCCATGAATGAACAATAAGAAGTTTAAACATTTCCCCCAATAGTGTATTTATGTGATGACTTTCCTTTGCATTATTTGTGTTTTTAATAATTTCCAATATATAAACTTCAGAATAACAAATGTTATTCTGTTAGGAAGATCCTAAGTTAATAAAAAAAACTACCATCTTTCACAAGCATTGAACCAAACTTTATGAAACTACCAGTGGACTAAAATGTCAATTTCAAATGGTTGAATATATAGGCACATTACTCAACACTCTAAAATAACTATTTCATATCTTTCTGTCTCCTTAAGCCTCCCATATTCCTTCTAGTGTTGATGACCTAATATTTCATTAATAAAACAGACTTCACCAGTGGGAATTCCTTTAGTAGTTGCCTACCACCAAAGCAATAAAACCACCCCACTTGCATATACACTTTCTCTCCATTTTGGTAGAGAAAGTGTACCACCTGCCAGGGATGATCTCTCCTTTTTTTCCCTGTAATCTTATTGTCTTGTATTTTTAAGAACCAAAAGAATTGAGGTATGACTTGTCTCTACATTGTTCCTGAACATTCTGCTTATTTCTTTATTAGTAACTTTAGGATTAACTAACTGCATTTTGTTTCGGCCTACTTCCTGGTCTGGAAGCTACTGGTGAACTTTTAGTTTAGTTTCTCCTTTAACTTTTAAACATAAAAAACTCATTTATTAAGTATTAGAGGAAATTGTGGAAGGAAATTTCAAATCTTCAGCCAAATGTCTCCCTCCTATTCTTTAATTCATTATCATCTAGCATTTGCCCCCATCCTGCCTTAACTGCTACTGTCAAGATCATCATCCCATGTTGCTCATCTAAGCATTTCTCTGTGCTCATCTTACTTCTTGTTTCAGCAATGTGCAGCACAGCTGACCACTTCCTCTCCTGAAACCTTCTTTTCTGGGTTTTTGAAATCCATTATTTCCTGATTTTCGCCAACCCTGCTAGCCTGTCTCTTTTCAAGTTCCTTAGCTGCTTCCCTTCTTCCTCTTTTCACACCTTAAGCACACACACATATAGCCTGAAAGTAATTTTATACAATGTTTTTAATGCACTTGTGTTTTCACTGTAGCCCATCACACTAGGTTAGGTATAGAATGCTTCACTCTCAGAATAATGTTGGGACCCAGAAAGTTTTGGATTTTGGAGCATTTTAGATTTCAGATTTTTCAGATTAAGAGATATTCAACCTGTATTTCTAGTCCAGGTTTCACTAAACTCCAGACTCAGATTTTTAACTCTACTTGGTTGTCTCACAGAAATTTTAAGCACATCAAGTCCCAAACAAAACTTCAAATTCTCCCATTTTTATAAGTGATAGCAACATCTAGCCACTTAAACCAGAAGTCTGAGAATTATCCAATCCATTAGAAAATGATGCTGATTCTATCTTCAAAATCTACTTTTCATTTCCACAGCTACGACCTAAGTACAGGCCACTAACACTTCTAGCCTGAATTATTGGAATGGCCTCCCAGCAGCCCCTTTCATCTCCATTTTTGCCTAGTTCTAAATCATTTTCCACCCAGTATCAAAAATGACCTCCTTAATATATAAACTAGATTATATCTCCTCCCTGCTTAAAACTTGCCAATGGCTTTCCACTGTACCTAGAATAAAATCCAAACCCCAAGGTCCTGTGCCATCTTGAACCTCCCTATCTGTCCAAACTTTTTCTTGAGCTGTTCTCCAGTCATCCTGACCTTTCAGTCCTGTGAACTCACAAGGGTCTTTATAACCTCAAAGAACAAGCCATTTCCTCTTCTGAAGGCCATTCTTTACATGGCTAACCCTCTTTTCCCTTTGCCTTCACCTTCAATGTCATTTCCTCAAAGAAGCATTCCTTTATACCACAAAGAAACTTCCCATTACTTAATCTGGGCTTACATGTTTTTGTCTGTCTTCTTCTACAAAAACATGAGCTGCATGCTCACTAGTGTATCTTTAGTGCCAACTACAGTGCCTGGTGCACAGTACATGTGCAATAAACATTTAACAAATTAACTGATATATGGTGCTATTTCCATACAAATTTTAACAGCATTATAAAGTCCATAGTACGGTATTTTTTCTACACAACTTCTGAAAATAAATTCCTTCCCCATTCAAGTTTACATTCTTCTCAAGTCATCTTACCTAAACTGAATCTCTCAAAAGCATCCTGTCTATCCTGAGTGGTTACTGGCTGACCTTCCAAACTTTCCAGGGAACGGAGGTGGAAAACGGTAAACTGGAAGTAATGAGGAAGGGTCACAATGGGATTTTCAACTAGGACCAGAGAAGTCAAATCTTGAAGTGGTTTCAACTTGCTTACATCCTGGAGCTGAAATGATACAAAAGTAGATAGGTATAATTTACTTTAAAGTTCACAAACGTATTAAAGGAAGTAATAAATCAAGAAAATTTTTCTTAACATGGCAAGAAACCTATTCCTGAAACCCATTATCCAAAAGTAGTAATGTGAGGGAGGAACCAAAAGGGAGCATATGAGCATTTAGTGTATCAGCAGTACTGGCCATTTTCTACATAGCATTTCATTTGTGACTCCTTATAACAACTTATAATGGAAGTATCATCTTAATTTAACAGATGAAAAAACAGGCTCAAAGAGCTACATTACTTGCCTAAGTAAAGATCACAACCTCGAGTGAGTGAAACAAGATTTCAATTCAAATCTTTCACTCTAAACCTATTGTCTTTTCATTATATTGATCAAACAAATCAAAAAACAAATATGATTATAAAATATTTTGGTAAATTTTCAGATAGCTGAGTTATAATAGTTAAAAGATGCATGAATTTTTTTTCTTTTGCTGTGCTGAGGATTGAACCCAGAGCCTTACATGTTATGTTTATGAAAGAGGTAATTAAAAAGGTCAAAAAACACTGTACCAAATAGTTAATACAAATTCCCTTCCATGAATGTGCATCATTCTTAATGATGCCAGTGTCAAATATAAACTGGGGTGAGAACATCATATAAAATTAGAATAGAGGTATTTATTGAATGCTTTTCCTGTTACTCAGTTGACACTGGTTCTACCTAAAGGTCAACTACTTTGAGAAATACTTGTGGCAAATTTTAGATTAATGGCTACCTCTTCTCATCATCCCATAAGTTTTAAGAGCTCCAAGGTGAGCTGACACAGTGAAATGGTAGAGAGTTTTCTTATCAGATCTTTATGAAAATGAAAGAAGAAAAAATAGATACTGTTAATAGCACAGTATTATATAAATGTTATTTTATTGGCCTCTACAGTTGGAAGGTTTATGCAATACAGCATTAAAATTAGTGTTTCAAAGCTTTAAAAGCATTTTCATATCTATCATTTTATCTGAATTCCATAATACCCATTAAAGGAAGCAGGAAGGAATTATTTTATCCAAGTGAAACAGGAGTTATAGAGACATTAAAGGGACTCTCCAAGGTCACAGAAGGCAACTATAGGCCCACAGAAGAAGTCACACCTTTTGTTTGTAATTCTATTACTGATACTCTTTAAATTATACCATGATTTTCCCAACTTTAATACAAATTTAATTAAATTAATGATTTTACTAAGAAAATGCTTACTGAAAACCTAACTGTAAATGAATACCAGAAGAAAATCATAAATTTTACTGCAGAGGGGGAAAAAATATATCATTATCCAATTATGTGAGTCATGCAAATGAAGTTGATCTACTATAAAAAGCTAATCACCAACTTCCAAAAATACCTATCACTATTATCAGAATTAATTCATAAATTTGAAAAATCCTACTGAAAAAAAGGTAGTGTTACAGAAAAGAACTCTCTTCTAGGAACTTGGATTCTAGAACAACCTGTGACTTTGGATAAGGACTTAATCTCTCTGAGCCTACTCATAAAATGGGAGCAAAAGTATCCTATCTAATTCACTATTATAAAGTAATCCCTGCACTGCCTCAGTAACAAGATTATGAGGCTCAAACGAAATGATAAATGTGAAAGTTCTAAGAGATCAACTCTTACTTACTATGGAACCTATGCAAAATGATTACTGCATGTTTTTAAATACTCTAGAGAATTCTAGGTTATAAGTCAATTTGATGTTTGGTAAATGGACCAAGGACATTAAAAGAAATCTCATTTTGTAAAAACTTAAGAATTTTAATTTTTTTCCAACAAATCCAAAATCTTGAAAAAAAAAATTCTTGCTACTTTGAATACCTTACCGATGCTATCTTGTTGCCTTTCAGATTGAGGACTCGCAAAGATTTCAACTTCTTTCCTAACCACACTGGAATATGCTCAATTTCATTTCCCGCAAGGTTTAGCTTTTGCAGATTACACATATTTTCTATGCCTTCAATTTTGCTGGAAACCAAAGGGCAAAATCAAACTTGGTAAATATAATGACAGTCTTTCCACAGAAATTTTAGAATAAAAAGCCTGGTTCTAAATGGAGTGTTTTCATAATTATAATTCATAAACCCTTTTCATAAATCAGAATAAAATGGCAAATACAATTTCACCAGAGCAGCTAACCTGCCAACCCTCTATGACTATACCCAGTAATCCCAGCCATCTTACTAGCAGACTTCAAAAACCGTGACACAGAAAAGAAGAATGTGTCCATGGCAACCTCACTGACTACTGGACAGCCAGGCAAGAGCTGGAAAACTCACCAGCACACCCTGCTACATGCTACATGCTACAATTGCGCCCATAATTATCACACTCAGTCATCACAAAAAGATTAATTGTGCTAGCAGGATGCGGGAGCCCCTAAAATGATACTGTATCATGAATATCACTATTTTAATCAAAATACTTAAATAAAACATTTATCACCCATTTTACTAAATTTTCATAGGTGACATTTTTCCCAAGTTACCTATAATTTAGTTGTTGATTTAACTGCTTGGTCAATTTTCTATACTGAGTGAATATATATATATATTTTTTTCTTTTCTTTCTCTTTTCTTTCTTTTTTTTTTTTTTTCAGTGGCACTGGGCTTTGAACTCAGGACCTTATGAATGCTAGGCAGGCACTCCTGCCAGCCCTGTTTTGTGCTCGGTTTCTTCGAGACTGGGTCTCTCAAACTAGTCACAAATTGTGATCCTTCTGATCGCTGCCTCCTGAATAGCTAGGATTACAGGTGTGAGGTACCAGCGGATTCCATGGTAAATACTTCCAAGATTTTCTATTTTTATTTTGCTGAAATTATTTTAATCAAAGAATTTTAATTCTTTTTATACAAATTTTATAGTAAGACTTTGCTTTAAGGGTGTTTTGTTTTCATTTCGTTTTTGTCTTACTTAGAACTTCTGCAGCTGTTGTTTTGTTTTAATTTGCTGGCCATAATATTTAACAAGTCTAATTTGGGTGAAGGTGTATAAATACTTTCAAGATTAGATTCTTGCATCATTTTGTCTATTTTAAGTTTCCTATAAGTAGAAAATGGCTTTAGCTATTGTAAGTTTTACTACACTTATTTCTCCCAGTAATGTGTATTTGAACTGGAAACAAGATTTAGAGTGTTTTTCTTATAGCAATGAGCAATGAACATCAGGATAAATATACAGTATCAAATAATTTGTAATATCTTTAGGATCAGAATGGCAGAACTAAAACATTCTCTTCATGTCAACATTTTTATGTAATAAGGTAATAAATCATAGATAACATCTGGGAAAAGTTTCACTTTCTAATTAAGTTTCAAAAGTCAAAACTTTCAAAATTCAAATTAAGATAAAATTGGGCACTCAAAAATGTATCCTCTCATTTGATAATGCTAGATATTATTTTGCATTTAATGTCAAAATATACACAGCTTTATGTGAAAGGCTAAAATATCAAATAAGAGTCAAAATGCCAGCGGGATGCTGGTGGCTCATGCCTGTAGTCTTAGCTGAGATCCAGAGGAACATGGTTTAAGGCCAGCCTGGGCAAAAAATTAGTGAAACCATATCTCAACCAATAGCTGAGTGCATGATGCACACCTGTAATTCCAAGCTACACAGGAGGCTAAGACCAGGAGGATCCTGAGATGGAGAGAATCAGCGTTCTAGGCCAACCCTGGCAAAAAAAGTTTGTGAGGCACATGTCTGTCCTCCTAGCAGGAAGCATAAAATATGAGGATCATAGTCCAGGCTGGTCTGGGCAAAAAGCAAGACCCCATCTCCAAAATAATCAGAACAAAAAGGGCTGGAGGTATGGCTCAAGTGGTAGAGTGCCTGATTAGCAAGCATGAAACTGAGTTCAAATTCCAGTATCATAAAAAAAAAAAAAAATCGAAAAGCCTATTTCAAAAGATTCTTTCAGTAACATGGATAGCACTAATCTACCTCTTTTTAAAAGACCCTGAAACGCTATCTAAAGAAGTAATATACTGGGAGGCGGGGGAGGGAGGGTTGGTCCCAGCGAGAGGGTGGAGGTGGCGGGGGAAAGGGGATAAATACAGTGCAAAAAATGTGTACACGTGTATGTAAATGCAAAAATAATATCTGTTGAAACTATTCCAGGAATGGGGGAGGGAGGATAAAGGAGAGTGGTGGAGGGGATGAATTCAAATATGAGATATCAGATATCCTATAACAACTTTTGCAAATGCCACAATGTGCCCCCACCCAGCAAAACAATAAAGGAAAAAAATAAATATTTAAAAATGGTTATAGAAAAAAAAAGAAGTATATACTCACATGATTTTGTTATATGATAAGTTGAGCTCACGTAATTTTAACAGCTTGTCCATCTTCTCAATCTTCCCTATTAGATTATAGCTGAGATTCAGTACTTCAAGTTTAATACATTTTTCCAAATTCTCGATGTACTAATTGGAAGCAAATGAGTAAATACTTTACATGATAGATGCCTGGACATCTGGTGTATGCACCAGGGGCTTGTTTGATCAGTCATCAGAAAACAATAACCCTTACTGCTGTCCTGGACAATCCCTGAAACAGCTCTCCTTGACCACAAGTAGCAACTGTTCAAGTGGCCAAACTCGTCTTGCCTCTCAGTGAAGGACAACATTTCCCACATACTAAGAAGTTCAAAATTACCCAACAAGAACTCTCCTATCACCAGTTCCTGTACCTACCACTTTTCCTATGCTTTCCCTCTTCTCCTCCTCCATTATTCTAAGAGACAGCTTCTCCTCAGAAAATTATGCTACGAATAATCCCACCCGTTTTCCCCAACACCTTACACATTCAGCCTCCTTCTCTCTCTTTAGATCTTAGTCTAAAGTGTAAAGACATCATTTTACTTACAGGCATATGAGGTGTGGCACCAACAAATGGGGCCATAGCATGAACAAATTTTTACAGGCTGCAGAGAACTAATATTCCACTATGTTCACATTTCTTCTATGTAGAGCAAATCATGTTCATTGAGGTTGTTTTTCTATCAAGCTATCATCTCTCACATATTTACCACAAGAGGTGTCCACATCTTCTCTTTCTGCCTTTATTCACTGTCACTGATTGGTAAGGCAATATATCTTCTACCACATCATGCATTTAATGGGTCTTCTTCCAAGATTACATCATTATCCATTCTACAAATATTTATCAAACATGAATTATGTGCCAGGAGTTTGTCTAGGTACAGGAAGTATATAGTAGCAATAAGGATAAGATTCTTGATCTCATTTGCAGAAACAGGCAATAAGCAACAAGTAAATAAGAGTTTCAGATAGTGAATATTGTGACAATGTGACAAATTGCAAAGGACGAAAAGGACAGACTTTTCCATCACGGATACTGCCATGCACTATGGCCTGGCACATACAGGGTGCCAAATAAATACTTTTGACTGAATGAGAGAGGGGGACTAACTGTGAATGGATGGTAGAGAAACCTCACAGAGAAGTACATTGAGTTGAGACCCTTAAAATAAGGAGCCGGTTGTGTGAACATAAGGGCAGAGAATACCAGCTGATTTAAAAAAAAAAAAAATGCAGAGGTCCTAAAAAATAAACTTGGTGGGTTTGAGAAACACAATGACTTTTAATTGCCATATCATTGACTTCCAAATTTTCATCTTATTTGACTATCTTGTGACATTTTAAATCATTCTTTCTGATGTTCCTTCTCCTTTTAGTTTCATTCATCATGCTTTGGATTTCTCCTGTCCCGACAGTCCTTCAGGCTTTCACATTAGTTTTGGCCTCTCCCATCCAAGCTCTCTGATTCTCACTGTTCTCCTCCTAATCCTAGGCTTTCTCTAAACCCTAATTTCAGAAAGATTACAAACTAATCTTAATTACCTCTGTATCTATATCTCCCTCAGTCTAACATAATGCCTGGCACGTAATAACCACACAGTAACTACTTATTATTTGATGTTTCATTTTTGTAATTTTAAAAACTCCAGTTATTTTCCTTTTTAATTACAGGAGATCTGAAATATTCCCAAAATTTCACACAAAACATAAAAAGGTCTCTTCCATATTCTCTGCACCCCCCCAAATGCCACTGCTCAAAGTAACTATTGTGAGAGGCTGATGAATCTTCTTATTTCATTTCAATCCATATATACTAATATAGAAAACGGAATTTAAAAAACATTACACCATATCCAACTAAAATGGCTTTAGAATTTTTTTCCCACTGAAACTACTGTGGGTATTTTCCATGTTAACAGAGAGTTCTAAATCACTTTTTTAAAAAGTCACAGTATTTCATGATAATATTGTACCATAACTTATTTAGCCAATCTCCAATTGATAGATCTTTAGTAGTTATTCCAATTTTTTCCATTTAAATAACACTTATAAGCATACTATATTGACATTTTGGTATAAATATACAAATAATATCTGTAGAACAGACATCAAAGAGTAGAATTACTGGGTTTGTAAATATAACTTGCGAGAATAAACTCAATTACTAGATCAAAGAAGAAGCAACATTGAAATTTTGATAAATACCACCAAAGCACGCTTCCTAAAATGCTGCACCAATTTACATGTCCACAAAAACATATGAGTGCCATTTTTCACATTTTTGAAATGAAATAATCACTTTCAAGTCTTACTACTTACATGTACAAATGGATAATGTTTATCAAACTATTGTTTCACATTTCTTTGACATTAATGAATTAAGCATATTTTTGCGTTAGTATTGGTCATTTTCAGCACTTTTTGAACTGCTTGTTCATATCTTTACTGATCTGTCCTCTTGCTGAATTGTAAAACACCTTTATACTTACAGGTGTTACAAACATTACCTGCCAGACTTTTTGCTTTATGTTTAAGGTTTACAAAGATGTCTTACATTAACACAACTTTAAAGCTTTTTGTAAGGGTAATCTGGCAATAACTTTTGGTTATGGTGGTCAGTTTGTTACTATGCTTAGGAAGTCTCTCCTACTACAAGATTTTAACAATTTAGTTTCCAATATTCTTTTCCTAAACTTTTAAAGAGTTTTGTTGTTGCTGTGTATTGTTTCACTTAGTTCTTTACCTTTTGTGGAAATTTTTTTGGTAACATTGATATGATCTAATTTCTAATTTTTCTTAATTTAACAAAATAAAGCATATTTTAAAAATGTATTTGTGTTTTACAGTTTTATGAACAAAGTAGTAAAATTCTTTAGAGATTTTCTTTTAGAAGGAAAATTTCTGTAGAAGCCAGATAGTAAAATACTTTTGGTTTTATCAGTCGTACATCTGTAAACAACTGCTAAGCTTTTGTTAGAGTGAAAAATCAGCATAGACATATGTAAATAAATTCATGGAGTTATGATTCCAATAAAACTTTATCTACAAAAATTAGTCTAGAAGGAAAACAGAGGAACTTCAGCTTGCTGGCTTGTAAGCTGTAGGTTTGTTATGCCTTTCTCCATAGAGAGTAAAATAACGTAACAAACTAAATAATAGTATGCTTACAAATTTAGAGATGTCATTACGTCTGATTGTACGAACTTTCACTGAAGCAATAAAAAGTCTGTTGCAAGTGTGAGGTAACATGAGAATAACATTTAAAAAAAAAGATTGGCAGTTATAAAGCAAAAAAAAAGCAACCAATTACCTATATTTCAGAAATGTTGTTAACCTACCTAAATTTCTTGCCACCATCTCTAGAAAGTGAAAGGTTCAGGGGGGGGGGGGGGGGGGGGGGGGGGGGGGGGGGGGGGGGGGGGGGGGGGGGGGGGGGGGGGGGGGGGGGGGGGGGGGGGGGGGGGGGGGGGGGGGGGGGGGGGGGGGGGGGGGGGGGGGGGGGGGGGGGGGGGGGGGGGGGGGGGGGGGGGGGGGGGGGGGGGGGGGGGGGGGGGGGGGGGGGGGGGGGGGGGGGGGGGGGGGGGGGGGGGGGGGGGGGGGGGGGGGGGGGGGGGGGCGGGGGGGGGGGGGGGGGGGGGGGGGGGGGGGGGGGGGGGGGGGGGGGGGGGGGGGGGGGGGGGAGGGGGGGGGGGGGGGGGGGGGGGGGGGGGGGGGGGGGGGGGGGGGGGGGGGGGGGGGGGGGGGTGGGGGGGGGGGGGAGGGGGGGGGGGGGGGGGGGAGGGGGGGGGGGGGGGGGGGGGGGGGGGGGGGGGGGGGGGGGGGGGGGGGGGGGGGGGGGGGGGGGGGGGGGGGGGGGGGGGGGGGGGGGAGGGGGGGGGGGGGGGGGGGGGGGGGGGGGGGGGGGGGGGGGGGGGGGGGGGGGGGGGGGGGGGGGGGGGGGGGGGGGGGGGGGGGGGGGGGGGGGGGGGGGGGGGGGGGGGGGGGGGGGGGGGGGGGGGGGGGGGGGGGGGGGGGGGGGGGGGGGGGGGGGGGGGGGGGGGGGGGGGGGGGGGGGGGGGGGGGGGGGGGGGGGGGGGGGGGGGGGGGGGGGGGGGGGGGGGGGGGGGGGGGGGGGGGGGGGGGGGGGGGGGGGGGGGGGGGGGGGGGGGAGATTTTTTA